GGGCGCCAGCCCCTGCCCCCCACTTCCCCGGACCTGGGACCGAAACCCCCTCCGGCTTGCCCCTCGTGCCTCCACGCGGCCGCCAAAGGGAGGGTGCCTCTCAGGCCGGGCTGAAACCCGCCGGCGGCTTCTCGGGGAGTCTAGGCGCCCCTGCCGGTCCCCGCACCCGGCGACCCCGCCCACCCTCGCCGCAGCCACTTTGGCCTTTCGTCACCTCCCGAGCCAGCCAAGCTTTTACCGCTACTTGGGGGCTTTGGAGGATGCTGCCCCTGATTCCCCAGTGTAAAGCGGCTCATCGCGGTTATCTCCCGTTCATTTTTATTATTTTATTTTTTTTGAGTTGGAGTCTCACTCCGTCGCCCAGACTGGAGTGCAGCGGCCGCTCCCGGCCACCGCAGCCTCGACCCGCCGGGCTCCGCCGATCCTTCCGACTCAGCCTTCCAAGTAGCTGGAACTACAGGCGTGCACTACCACGCCCGGCTGATTTTTTGATTTATTGTAGAGATGAGGTCTCGCTACCCAGGCGGGTCTCGATCCCGCGGGCTCAGGCAATTCACTCACCTCAGCCTCCCAAAGGCGCGGGATTACAGGCTGAGCCACCGAGCGCGGCTATCTCACGTTCATTAATGCACCAGCTTCGTTAATATTTTCTGAAGCCCTGGCTCATTCTGGAATTATTTTGTGTGTTGTTGTGGTGTGTGTGTGTGTGTGTGTGTGTGTGTGTTTGCCTGTTGTCCAACTGGCTGTCAGAATGTAGGCTTCATGGGAGCAGGGTTGGCCTCATGCCTCCCCCCACCAAACCAATGTTTAGTTAGTGCATTATTTAACTGTACCTCAAATAACGAAGGGGCCCTAGAGCCAGACAGACCTGGGTTCTAATTCACCTCTGCCTGCTTGCAAGCTGTGTGTTCTTCAGCCAATCCCTTGACCTCTCTGAGCCAGTTATAAAATGGAGGTTATAATGCTGCCCTTGCAAGTCTACTGTAAGGGTTAAATGAGTATGCATTTAAACTGCCCCTCAGGGTGCCCTCCATAAACTGTAGTGTCTTCTCGGTCAATTCTCCAAATCATGCTGTGGTTGGAAGGAGGGGATACACTCCGAACCCATTTTACAGATGGAGAAACTGAGTTGCAGAGAAGAGTGTAGTCACCTGACTAACAGAAAGCACAACTTGAACTCTTTTTTCTTTTATTTTCTTTTATTTTCTTTGAGTCAGGGGTCTCATTCTGTCACCCAGGCTGGAGTCCGGTGGCACAATTAAGGCTCACCACAACCTCGACTTCCTGGGTTTGGGCCATCCTCCTGCCTCAACCTCCTGAGTAGCCGGGACTACAGACACATGCCACCACGCCTGGCTGATCTTTTGATTTTTTTTTTGTAGAGACAAGGTCTCACTATTGTTGCCCAGACTTGTCTTGAACCCCTGGGCTCAAGCTGTCCTCCTGCCTTAGTTTCCCAAAGTGCTTGGATGACAGGCATGAACTACCACTCCTGACCAGTAAGTTCTTTCTTGAAGGGATGGGAACATCTCGCTTTCACAGCTGCCGCATGAGCTCTGCAAGACGTGGAGAAAAATCAGAAATATTTCCTCTTGCCCTCTGAGAGCTCAGAGTCCATTCTACAGTAGAAGACAGACACTCATGGGATTCTGATCCATGTGCTCAGCTTCTAGAAGAAGGCCTTTGACCTTTGGGAAGTGACACACTTCAGGTAGACTGGCTGGGAGCAGGACAGAGCCTCCAGCCATGCAGGGAGGGTCCCATGGACAACAAAGGACAAAGGAGGAAGCCAATGGGGGTGTGTGATCAGGCAGTAAGCACCCGACCAGGCTCTGCCAGCAGCCCCAAGTGATCTTGGACTGGTCTCATCTCCTCTCTGTGTCTCAGTGTCACCATCTGTACCAGGAAGGGGTCCAGACCAGATCAGAGTTGCTTCACCTTTTGAGAATCTGATCAAACCTAGGAGTCCTCACCTCGAAAATATGCACTTTTTTTTTTCATCGTGCTAAAATACACATAACATAAAATTCACCATTTTAATGTGTCCCATTTAGTGACATTTAGTGCATACACAATGTGGTACAACCTTCACCACTATTTAGATCCAGAATATTTCTGGCACCCCAAAAGGAAGCCCTGTTTCCATGAAGCAGTCACTCCCCACCCCTGCACCCCACTCCCTGGAAACTCCTGAGCTCCTTTCTGCCTTTAGATAGCTATATGATTTGCCTGTTCTGTATACTGCATGTAGATGGAGTCATACAGTACTTGGCCTTTCTTGTCTGGTTTCTTTCACTTAACACGCATCAGTACTTCCTTCCTCAGAAGAAGTAGCATTTGAGGTGGGCCACTAAAAAGAGTTCAGTGGGGCCAGGCATGGTGGCTCACACCTGTAATCCCAGCAGTTTGGGAGGCTGAGGCCCCAGGCAGAGACAGAGCTAGGGAGGATGCCAGCAGGGCAGGTCCATCCCTGAGCTCCCTGTGTGTTCCCTCCTGCTGGGCCCCTCCCCAGGAGCATGGCCCCTTCTCCATGTCCCTCTAGACCTCATCCCCTTATGCTTGAGTCCAGGAGCTCAAGACCAGCCTGGGCAACGTAGTGGGACCTCATCTCTACAAATAATCAAAAAATTAGCCAGGCATTGGGGCACATGTCTGTAGTCCCAGCTACTTGGGAAGCTGAGGCGGGAAGATTGCCTGAGGCGGGAAGACGTTGAGGCTGCAGTGAGCTGTGACCGTGCCACCACACTCCAGCCTGGGCAACAGATTAAGACTTTGACTCAAAAAAAAAAAAAAAAAAGAGTTCAATGGGCAGGTCGGGTTGGGTGGCAGGCACTCCAGGTGAGGGCATAGCAGGTCCACAGCCCCAGAGGGGTTAAGCAGCTCAGGGAACAGCATCACCAGCCAGTTACCTCCAGCAGTCTCCCAGCTCGGCAACTCTGAGTAACTTCCTCCAGTGCAGGGAGGAGGAGGAGGTGGTGGCTGGGTTGACAGAGGACATGACATCAATTATTGCTTCATGTCTCTGTTTATTCCACCCAAGGTACCTGGCATGTCATCAGCTACTCCTTCCAGCCTCCCTAAATAGAAAGCATGTTTCCTCCAAGACCGCATCATTCATTTCCCAGGGACGGCTGCCCTCCCAGAGACTAAGGCTGGGGGTCGTCTATGCTTCCTCCCCATCACTTCCCCCCCCTTCAACCTGCCACCCGTCTCCCTTCGGCATCCACACCTGGCTAGCTTCCCTGTTGTTCCCATTGCCTCTGCTTAGTCTGGCCACACCCGCACACAGCTGGCCCGTGACCCTCACATCTGCCCTCACCCCCTCACATCTGGCTGCCATGTCCCTTAAATGATGTATCACAACACTACCCTCCTTACTAGTCTTACACTCAGCAGGACTCTCACATTCTTAGCCCTGAAGACAGGCTGTAGCTGGACACTCCTCCCAGGATGGATTCATTCCAGCCTCAGAATGAGGCACAGACTCTGGGACTTTTTTTTTTTTAAGAGAGAGAGAGACAGGGTTTCACCCTGTCACACACTGGAATGCAGTGGCACAATCATAGCTCAGCCTTGACCTTCTGGGCTCAAGCAATCCTCCCATTTCAGCCTCCCAAGCAACTGGGACTACAGGTATGTGCCAGTACGCAGGGTTGGCTTTTCTATATATATATATATATTTTTTTTTTTTTTTTTTTTTTGTAGAGACAGGGTCTCACTATGTTGCCCAGGCTGCTCTTGAACTCCTGGGCTCAAGCAATCTTCCCGCCTCAGCCTCCCAAAGTGCTAGAATTCCAGGCATGAGCTGCCCTACTGCCCTGGAGCCTTCTTGAGAGGACACAAGGAGAGGCTTTTCGGATGCCATATGGAGAGGGACTGGGAACAAGAAGGGCTTTGGAGCAATACGTGTGTCTGCTTCTCAACTTTGCCCCATCTGGGCTGTCCTCTTTAGGTAGGGACAGTGTCTGTCTCACGCGGTAGGTGTCACCCTCAAGCATCTCATCCTATTATTCTCAGAACCCTGATCACATACACTGTTGTGGAATCTGTGCACCCCACTAAAGCACACGCTTCAGGGGAGCAGAAGGCTTGCCTGTCAGGCTCACGGCTGTGTCCCCCAGTCCTGGACGGTGTCTGGCACGGGTGGGCCATCCTGGTGGGTGGGTGGGGGAAGCCTGCAGGTGTGTCAGTGGGCTCGGGCAGCTACCTTCCAGGATCTGCAGGGCAGAGAGAAGCAGGGTCTACTCATGCAGCAGCACCCAGGGGCAAAACCACAAACCACCACTACACGATCCTGGGAAGATTGCTGTAAGAAGACATTTCTAAGAATCAGAGCTCCCTCCCAGGCCGCTGGGGAGGACACGCCCAAAATGGAGGGATACTGAGTCCTGGACTCTGTGCTGAGGACTTCCACTAAGGAAGGTTCTCTGTCTTCACCTCTCCTTCCTCGTCTTGGTCAGAAGGCTGCTTGCTGAGGGCAGATTCAGAGCTGAGGGAGCTGGCTCATTTGGGGTCTTCTTCCTAGATTGCGGGGGTAGCTGAGGAATTGCCCTTCTCCAACAGTGAGAACAATGTTCTAGTTGTGCATGGCCAGCAACTGCTAGGTGGGAGTGCTGCTGAATTAAAAACCCTGGGCTTGACCGGGTGTGGTGGCTCACACCTGAAATCCCAGTGCTTTGGGAAGCCTAGGCAGGAGGATCTCTTGAGA